CTCGTACATACAAAGTCAAAAGCACTTGCAATGCAGTTTGGCGTAGAAGTAGAAATGTAGATGAGAATGAGATTGTGAATGAGCGAAAAATTTAATATTGCGAATTTTAATTGCATTCAGGAGAAAGGAAAAAATTTCCAGAATCTCTTGGTGGATTCGTGCAACCAGTTTGGGGTGATTGCGTGGCGGCGAAGAAGAAATTTTGATAATTTCAAGGTGACAAGTTCGCCAGAAATTTTCAATGCAAGCCACAATTTGCTTATTTTTCTGGAAAATTATACATTTTTCCTATGATTTGTGCTTTTTTGCCTTTTTTTATCAAATATCTGAAATGTTGCTTGCATTTTTTTCTGTGGCATATTTGGTCAATAGCAATGGCGCTCATAATGAATGATTTTGTTAGACGCGAAAAAATTGGTGACTATTTTCCATTGAAATTTTGCGTTATTGTCGTAGCATACACGCCGGGGACGTGCATTGGCCGTGAGTAGCACAGTGGCACAAGGATAGTTAATGACGAAAAACCTATCACAAGTGTTGCAATGCAATCAGCATTGAGAAAAGAGCAAGAAAAAACTAAAAAGATATGCGTCAATACAACGGAAGACAAATTGACCACGACAGTATGTATAAGAAAGATACACAAATACTATAGATGAACGAGACCTCTGAAATTATGAAATAGGCCCAACGGTGAGCCATTAATAGCGTGGCCATGCAGTGAAAAATAAAAATGCGGCAAAAAAAGCATACGCAATGGAAAGAGTGCTCAAAACTCACAACAACAGAGTTTTTAAAAATACTTAGCTGTAAAAACCATGCCAGGCCGAGGCAAAATTCTATATTATTTTACTCCATGTTATTTCCTCCATTCCGATTTTAAGTTAAAGTTTCGCAAGCCTATTAAGGAAGATTTTTAATGACTAATCCAAAGAGATTGGAGGGACAATGGGACGATGCCTCATGGTGCGCTTTCTTTGTGGTGTAAGATATTTTCTCAGAAGGTACTTGAAATAGATTCCACCTCTTCCCACTGTTCCAGTGTTCCCGTAAGTACATTTATGTTTGATATGATACCCTGTTATCTATCTAGTCTGTTCTTTTCCTCAACTTGTGGGATCAGAAATTTCAGAGAGAATTGTATGCCTTAAATCTATTCACCAACAATTGAAACGGACCCTTTCTTCGTGCGCCCATCCGCTCCATATTTCTCGAAACAACACTATGATCTGAGGCTAAGTATATAGTGACGATGTTTTGTATAAAATATTTTAGAAAGTTTCGACATTACCTTACAGCTTACTTGTAATACCGACTTAGTAGTTGCCGGCCTGCGGGCTTTGAATTCCACTGGAATGTCTACAACAAAGGCAAATATTGAGATCCCGCATGCTTACCACCTTTGCCTAAATTTCAGGCTGAAAGAAACATTGCAGCAATATGGAATCCAGTAAGCCAGATTTTCTACGTTGCTTTAAAGGGTGTCAAATTCTACGTCTCTTCAGTAGGTGACTATGGCGCTATTGTCTAAGTTGGCGTGATCTATTAGCCAAAATCTGTCTGTTTAATCTCCACTTTGTTTGAATAGTGGCAGCTGTGGAGCCTGAAAAATTTCCATTTATAGTTGTAAAGTCCAAAAGTTACTCCAATAACGACTACAGCTAAAAGCGGAAAGCTTGAATTACATATAGATATGACATATAGATATGCCAGACCAACGCGCTGTAAGTTGATTTAATTAGATGTTCACTCTAGTTACAAACAATTAGCAAGCTCTTCCATTTTGATTTCACAACTCGTGCGACCTGCAGCAATTTAGCGGATTTAAGGGATGTTTAGTACGTTATACCGATAGAGGCGGCTGCACTCTGAAATATTCTGCATGAATGGTTTGCCGAGTGTCTTTTATCTCATCCTTTCGAAGGCTGGGCTTTCGCACAGAAATTGCCCAGATGTTTTCTGTGAGTTCGGGTCCTCGCATCTGCGACAGAACCTATTGCCGGGTAAGCCAATCCTCCCGGCATATGCCCCAATGGATCAGTGTCCTGTGAAGACTACCGAAAGCAGGTATTTTCTTTGCTCATTCCCAATAAAGCGCTGGTGGCTCATAGAACACCCAAAAGCGTCGGATAAGTCCGCAATGTTCCAACACTGTCTAGCCTTCGAATGATAAATTTACTGCCTCCTTAATTTCAACGGTTTGGGCCTGGAAAACGCGTGCATGTTCTGTTAGGCGGAAGGATAGCTTTAGGTTTATTGCTAAATGAAAACTCTTATACCAACCGCGTATTCCATCTTTGATACATACGTTAAGACCGTTAAGCTCTCTAAAGACGGGCACTTCTTTGAATCCAGTCATAGCAGCGTGGGAATTCCAAGGGGGGTTTGTGATGAACCCGGGTCGTCAGCAGGATATAGTCAACTCCAAATTTTTTTAAGGACTTCGAATTATAGCCTTCTACTTGATTTATCAATTGTTTCTATTCAATATTGGTACCGTTATCAAATGGGCTGTACCTAAGGAAAAAACTAGAAGTGTGCTTTTGCTCAATCTTAAATAAAAATTTATAAACTTTTTTCAGTGCAAATTTAGACCTATGCACATAAGTATTTACACATATCTGCATAATAGTGCAACACAGCCGTAAAATACTCAATACCATTGTAAAACAACGGATTAATTAATATTTAATGAATATACAGCTGTACCAACTACAATAAATACAAAACGCAACCCCCCCCCACCGCACGCAAACACTCAGCCTTGCGCACTCACTCGTCGATCTATGCCTTCGTGTGTGCCTTTGTGTGTGACCGGTGCGCGCAAATACGCGCATCACTGAAACCATAAACTATAATAAAAGTATAATAAAATTGTGTGACAAAATGCAACCAAATTGAAAATGGAGTGCTTTTGTGAAGAGTATACAAATCGAACAATGCAAAGAATACCCAGACAAGGACATACATACATACATACATACATATGTATGCAATGAATTATCCGAGATCAGAAGCAAATGCGGTCGTCGTCGCGGCCATCAGGTGTGTAAGGACACATATGTAAATGTACGCGACTGACAACATGAATAACAAATGCGAGGTTAATTAAAAAAATAATGCATTCCATCTTCAGTGGTATGCAAAATGGTTGTGAGCGAATATGCATGCAATTTTAATCTGGCGACAGAAAAATTTACATGCATCGGCAGGTGTACGCACTTTAGCAAATTTAATTTTTATTATTATGTTAAATTAAATGGATGATTTCGCCTCGTAGCATGACGATTTAATGTCACACTCGCACAAATGAGTAATTGATTGAAAGATAAATGTGATTTTTAATAATACTTGGCGCTCTTTAAATATTATTATTAATGAAAATTAATTCCTTGGAGATTTAAAGTAGGTACATTTCGTAATATGCCATTAAATACTTACTTATGTGAATAGGAAAAATTAAGAGTTTAGATTAAAAATTTGCTGCATTTCCAAGCGAATAAAAAATGCAAGTTTTTTATTTATGACTCTGGCTAAAATATTTAAATTCAATTCTGTGTCCTTGGTTAGCTGAGCTGCGATAAAAACAGTCATAACTTTTATTAAAAAAAAAAATATTTTTTAGTGATTAGTTACACGGTTCAACAAAATTTGGTCGTTTTTTATTTCAAAAACGGGGCCCGACCTTATCGTATAACTTTTTTGATGCTGATTTGAAGTGCATTTACAAAATTTTTCTAGCACGTCCCGTTTTTGAGAAAAAATCTGTTGAAGTGTCAAAAAATGGCGAAAATTAGAAATTTCAAAAATTGTTTCAAATAGATTTTTGGTGCTGATTTAAAGTGCTTTTAAACAATTTTTCTAGCACGTTCAGTTTTTGAGAAAAAAAAATATATTGAAGTTATATTCAAAATTTCAACAATTTTTTTTAAATAGAATTTGGACGTAGCTTATCATTTATTTGGTTTTTAATGTTAGTCGCAACCTGGGCTCAATTACAAGCTCTGCGGAATGATAGTACGCACTTCCAACCACTACACCACAGCGGCTGCCGACTAAGACTAAGGCTAAACTTAAGATTAATACTAATGTCTTAAATAGGAAACGAACTTGAAATAGATGAAAAGAAGTTTCCCTTCTGTAGAGTGACCAATATGCACACTTTTTTTGTTGCAATTCCTTTTTTCAGAATCAAAAGTTGTTAAAGGACTTATTGTAAAGTTTTTAATACTTAATAATTATTTACATTTATTTGGCTTTCAGAAGATTAAAGCTTTTATTTATTATTATTAAAAACATTTTATATACATATACATACACTCCATGCAACATTTGCTGGTAGAGCACAAAATAAACAAAAGACACATATCCCTTACTCTTAATTATGAAAAACCACATTTTTGGCTATAACCTTTGAGTTTTCAACTATATATAAAATATCATCAATTTGATTGTTATGTTACGTATACTGTAAACTTGTTTTATTGCACGATATTGGAAACATATTGATATATGGATTAAGTTTAAATCGAAATATATTGGTTCAAAGCATCAAATTTCCACCGAAATTTTTCATAATTCATATCCAGCGGGATAAAGCAGACAATCACAAACCCAAATGAACCCAAATTTTGGAATTTCCTTTTTTTTCATTTTTCTTTCTTTTTACAACATTTTTTTATCACAATAACTGGTGTATAGTAGAAAAAAAGCGTGATAAGCCCACCACAACCACTACAATGTAATTTATGCATCGCCACAGCCATCGCAATCATCCCAAAAACAACAAAAAAAAAAGAAAATATATATAGAAACAGCAACAACATTTACCCACCAAATAAATCAATAAATGCGCAAAAGTAAATAATTTGTATAAAACGCTTTTTTTTAGTTTAAAGAGAAACATTTGCAAAAAATAAAACAAAAATATGCATATAAAATTTTAAGCAACGTACCAACTTAATTTTAAATAAAACATTTATTGTTGTAACCTTTTACAGGTTTAAAGAGCAGGAGGCCTCTATCCTGATTGACCGATCGTACGTATAAAAACAAAAACAAACAAACAGCAATACTTAGTTCAATATAAAAAATATAAAATATTTTAATGCCCGTATTTATACGCTAGTGCGCATATAAATGCAATTTTTTAAGCAAATATAAATGTTATGCAAATGCTTGATTATTTCGTTGTTTTTTTTTTTTTTTATAATAAAAATAGCATTTGTAATTGTTGCACAAAAGATGCCTGGCTGATTTCTTTGTATTCATAACAGTTTTTTTTTGTTGTTGTTTTTAGCACAATGCGCTTAGCAGCTGTACAAAGCAAACAAAAGGAATATTTTTTAAATGCAGTCGTATTTGTTTCATTTTTATCTAAATATAATAATCGAGTGAATTTTTATTTTTGTAATATTTTTTGATCGTTTCATCTGTTTCGTTCGATTTTTAGTTGATTTAGTTTATTTAATTATTTTTTTTGTAGGCAATAAATATATATTTTTAAAACCATGCAGTTTTATATAAATTTACGCTTTATCCGAATTCGTTGATATGAACATGAAAATAAAAATTTGCATATTTGCCAAAATCGTCGTAAAACTTAGCTTGTCTCTTCAGCTTCGGTGTACATTCACACATCCAAATCTCGAGAAGGCATGGGGTCTTAAGCCAAACATTGTAATTTAGATGCACACAGAAGTGTTACATATGTACGTCCAATCTTATGTTGCGGCTCTCTGGTATGGTGGGGATAGAGCACTGCAACCTGAAGATCTATTGTGCCCCCTCCATGGATTATAGTGTCTACTAATCCGGTATCCAAGAGAAACTTTAATATGGAACCTAAATCTACGGATTTCCTTGCCTTTTGCGTTTGTGCATCAGTCCAGGACATTCTTCTAAGATGTGCTGTGCAGTCTCGTTCTCCGTCCTGCAAAATCTGCATCGCTCATGCGAGTAAATTTTCAGTTTATTCAGGTGATAGTTCGGCCTGCAGTGTCCAGTTAGGATCCTTTGATAAGCTAATACATTCCTTGAAGAGTTTTAGGTTATATGTTCCTAAAAGTGCTTTGTACTGGTAAACCTGGTAGATCATCCCAGTAGCGTTTTCCATGAGTCTCTTCCTCTAACCGAACAAGTTCATAGAGAGGCACTCTATCACCAGTTTAGATGTTACCTGGTGAGATCTGAGGATCTTGATAGCCGCTTGGCTGTCAGTCAATATCGCGGTGTTCTGATTCCGGTAGTTCTTGATATTAAAGTCCACGCATCTTTCTGTGGCGTATGTTTCAGCCTGGAAAATAGATATATGTTTTCCCATGGGTTCCGAGTATCTAAACCTCGGTCCAACTAGCCCTATCCCGGTACCCTCGTCGGTGAATGAGCCATCAGTGTACCAGGTAATCATGTTTTGGTTTTCTGATATGTCTGACTGGTTTGTAGTATAGGCCATCACAACTTTGCAAAGGAGAGAGTAAAATTCAACTTTTTTTGTCTCAGCCCAAACAGGCAGACGGGTTTTAGTGACAAAGAAGGAGAAGAAGAACAAAAACCAATAAGTTCTCCATAAGACAACCAGAGAAGAACAGAATAGAATACCCTCATTCCAGGCTAAACGAGTAGGCATTGTGATTCACTCTAGTAACTTATACTACATAAACCGCAGTCTTTATCAGAACCTTGTACTTTATTCGGCTAAAATTAAATGAGCTACAAAGCTGCATACTCATTTTTTTTCTAATAGTTCCGAATAAAAATTTTGAAATTTTGATGAAAATTTTTTGATTTTTTTCAAGTTTTGTAAAAAGTTTAAAACTTTAATTTACATGGTTTTTGTTAGAATTGAACAATATTTTCGTAAAAATTTTGTATGAAAAACATTGCAAATATTATTTTCACCACTGTATTATTTTTCAATTCAAAGTCAAATCTCCTAAAGTCACATAGGTTTTTCTAATAAAATCCCACAGATTTGTTATTCCAATATTCTTCTATCTTATTTTGGTTATTTTCTGAATATTTAAATTTATTTTCTTTTTTTCAACGCCATATATCCATATACACGCAGTTTTGAGTTCTTTACGACGATGCCAAATTTAAAAGCTTTTCACCTTGATATTATTTTAAATACCTTCTAGCTTCGTAAACAAAAATTAAAAATAACAATATACAATTTCATAATTTTATTTGTGTTTCGCTGCATTTCGAGACACTTAAAAATACCAGCGACGACACACCTTTTTTATTTAAAAAGCTTCAAAAAATTTTTAATGCTTTTTTAGATCAACAACTGACGTAAAATCACAAACACCAAGAACACAAATCCATATCGAATATGCTTCTGCAAATGTACATATGCACATTAGGGTGGTCCAAAAATGCATGTGAAAAAGTATAATCGGAAATTTTAATGCTGTCACGCCATAGGATTGTTCTATATCGAAAAAATATACCCTGTTTTTATTTCGAGATCAAAAACTATTTAGAGGTCACTCAAAGCGCTCAAAGTTTTACACGTATTTTATATTGGAAAAAAAGTTTTCTTAGAAATTATACATAATTCTTGAAAATTAATATTTTTCGATGGAAAAAGTCTGCTTCTCTTTAAGAGACTTCCTATTATAATATCCAAATATTTGGTTTAGCATTTCGTAATAACTCGCCCTATTGTATTTGGATCTCATTTGAGTATAATTATTGGAAGTCTCCCGACAAGCAAGAGTTTTCCGATCGAAAAATATTGATTTTAAAGAATCTAATACTATTTCTACGAAAAATGAAAATTTTGAGCGCTTTGAGAGACCTCTAAATATTTTTCGATTTCAAGTAAAAAAACACAGTGGTATATTTTTCTATGTATAGAACTATCTTAGGGGGTAAGAGTAATAAAGTTCCGAATTTACTTTTTTTTTTGTACCACCCTAATGCACATACACAGAATATCAGCAAAATACACAAATATTTTCTCGCCCACAGCAGAGCTCGTAGTAGTAGACCCTCCCCTTCACGCATTGGATTGCATGCAGTCGCCGCGTACTTATTCGAATTAAAATTTTGCATTTCCGCGCGAGTGAATGACGTTGTTTGCACTATAAATTTTACGCTTTTTATTCTGTTGTTGAACTCGTTGTTTTCAATTTTTTTGGTTTTTTTTTGTTACTGAATTGTAATTAAGTATTAGGTAAACCGCCACTGTGTTGTGGCGGCTGTGCTGTTGCGCCAGCCACTACATTCCAATTACAACATTTTTTATTTTTTTGGAATTCGCTAGCCTCTCCGACTTACTTGCTGTGATTTTCAGAATTCCGTTCGATTAATTTTAATATTTCACATTTGAGTTGCATAAATACGAGAAGCCTTAATTGCGCTACGCTTTCGGTGCTATATCCAACTTACCGCCCCCTTGTATGCATTGCCCGTTCTGCAGCATTTATACGTACTTGCTGCTAATCTACATAGCTTATTCATTAATCTATTTTCATTTATTTATAAACATTCTTCGCCTTGTTGCTCTGCAATTTGTTATCCATGCGATTCAAAGCGGCCGGGCCGCCACTATTTCACTCATTCACTCCTCCAACAGACTCAATCAGTATGCTTGAGTTTTGACTACTAATTTACATACATACCTACCTGATGCTATGCCATACATACATACATACCAATATGTGTAGTTATGCAGTTGCCCGCCCGCGAGCTTACGAAACTTGGTATTAGCTTTGGAATTTTGGTTTTATTTGTATATGTAGTTTTTTGTTTTGTTTTTGTTGAATTTTGGTTTCTCAGCCACAAAGTTGTTGCAATGATTTTCTCGCCTTCTTCTGCTTGCTAATCCATTGCATGCTGAATTTTTTTTTGTTTTCGTCAGTTTGAATTTAATTGTTTGCTTTCGTTGTTATTTAGCATGTTTATTTAATGTTTTTGTTGTTGTTGTTTTCGCTGTATGTATTCAATTACAGTTCGTAGATTTGTGTATTTTATGTAACTCTGCAATTTATTTTCTCAAACAAATATCAAGATAGATTACGAAATACCTTTGTATGTATGTATATTAAGTCGCAAAACTGATATATTTATTTACTGAAACCTTACAAGTAATTTAATTTTAAAAACACTCGTATCTATTTATATTTACAATAATTTTAGAACTTTAGGATTTTCATCAAAATTTATGTGTACCTAAGCGCTTAAGTACCTACTAGAAATTAAACTATATTTTTATTCTTATAGGTAAGTAAAAATTTTGAAAGGATACTAAAAGTATTCGCATATTCGGTTATCGTATAAAGTATAAAAAACGCCGAAGCAGTGTTCGAAACTTTTGCTTATATTTGCTATACTTCATTTCATGCTTTAATAGAGTTGCCAACCCTCTTTAAGTTAGAACGAATTAAGTGAATAAGGTAAATGAGCGCACAATATTCAAAAATGGTCAGAAAAAGTTAATTCAAACATACCCTTTAGTAGGGTTGCCATCTATCTTAAATTTGAATTGATTCAATTCGTATTTTTCAAAAACCATACATCCATAATCCATAAATGCTTAAATAGAGTTGCCAAAAATTTATACAAAAAAAATAGATAAAAACAAAAAACGTATCCATCCTTTCACATAAAAACCCTTAAAAAAAATTTTAATGAAAACGCATATTTTACCAAGGTTTCACCCATTTTAAAATTACAATGGTTTAATGGAATAGTTGTCTGACATTTCATAAAGTGGAAAAAGAAATTTATTGAAAATAATTAAATTTAAACATAGGTATTTACCTAGTTAAAATTTGTAGAGTATCACCTGGCTCAATTAAGTGGATACATAAATAAGAAAAAAATCTTACAATATTACCATCACATCACACATAAGCTGCGACAAGAGATCATACACAAAATTTGAAACAAAAAATATCGGAAAAACATCAGTGGTCCATGAAAATCTCAAAAAATTCTGAAAATAACGAAATTGTCCAAGAACAGATTCCCGAATAATTTTTACTAAAGTTTGCTGATTTTTTTGTTTAATATTGCACAAAATTTTAAA